ACTCATATGCGGTCCTGCATATGTTGTTACGGGATTCTCCATAATTTGTATATTGTTTGACATTACAGTGCTAGACCCTAACTGAGTGTTTACTGATGTGCCTGAGCTTTGTTCAGCACTCACAGGTATTGATGTACTCACATTTGTCGATATTACGGGCATATTCCCATTGTGAACTTGCCCCCCAGTGTTTGGCAAATGTGAACTATTTGGAATCTCATTGTTATTCTGATTATGTGGTGTATTTTGACTCATTCTCAATACTCGCTCACTCCTTAATCTCATACACTTTCAAACTAACCAATTGTTTGTCTTTTTCGAAACAAGCCCCTATCTGACCATGTAGATTCTTTTCATTTAGGCTAGCAACTAGTTTTCAATCAAAAAATGCATGAGAATCGAGAATCATATAATCTCAAGAAATGCAAACGGCATGACTTAAAGTGCAGAAAGTACTATTTTTGACGTTTTTTTATTAAGAAATGCGAAGTAAAGAAAGCAATAAAAACGTCGAATCGAAAGCAGAATATTAAATTGCAGAAAAATGTAGAATGCGGAAACCTCAAATTTGCATTAAATGTAAATGACAAGGAATCGAAATTGCGGAAATGTAAATAACAGGAAATCGAAATTACAAAAATGTAAATGGCAGTAACTCGAAATTGTATAAATATAAATGGCAGGAAATCAAAATTACATAAATGTAAACGACAGTAACTCGAAATTGTGGAAATGTAAATAACAGGAAATTGAAATTACAGAGATGTAAATGGCGAGTATCTTAAAAACATAACATTAACTTGCATAAAAATAAATGACAAGGAATTGAAAGGACAAACTTAAAGTTGATAAACGTAATGTTGCAATGACAGTAAAATTACCAGGGAAAGTAAAGAAAGCGATAAAGGCAATAAATGAAAACGGAAATCCAGAGCATTAGAAACTTCATGATGCGTCGTTCTCCTGCAGACTGTTCACTTGCGCTTCTGTTGTCTCTGCCAATTTCCCCCTCTTCCTCAAGCTTCGCTCTATTTATAGAGTGCCCTTCAAATAACCTCCTAAGATCAGTTATCAAAACTGCCACCACAATCCATCATGCACGTCCCTTAGTTTTACGGTTTAAAAACTGTGTTCCATGTTCCTGAGATAACTGCTCCCTTGACCTTCGATCTCAGACATCGAGTACTTTGAATTGTTTTTTATTCCCTCTAATTTTAACTTTGCACTATTCTAATTTTCTCGTTTCTCTTCAATAATAGACATCGAAATTTGTTTCTTCGATTCTCGATTTTGATTCTCGATGTGTTTTTATCTTGTGGTTACCAGGTGTCTTTTACCTGTCTCTTATCAATTTTTTAACCAACTATATGATCTTCGATTTTCTCTCTCTTGTTCTTTCGATCCTGGTATCAACTTTTCTTTTATTAACAGTTTGACATTACAGTGTTAGACCCTAACTGAGTGTTTACCGATGTGCCTGAGCTTTGTTCAGCACTCACAGGTATTGACGTACTCACATTTGTCGATATTACGGGCATATTCCCATTGTGAACTTGCCCCCCAGTGTTTGGCAAATATGAACTATTTGGAATCTCATTGTTATTCTGATTATGTGGTGTATTTTGACTCATTCTCAATACTCGCCCACTCCTTAATCTCATACACTTTCGAATTAACCAATTGTTTGTGTTTTTCGACACAAGTCCCTACCTAGTGCGCCAATTTGTTTCTGGTGAAAATTTGATCGATTTCGATTTATCGAGACTTAAGTTCTAATCAAATCTTGACCATGTGGATTCTTTTCATTTAGGCTAGCAACTAGTTTTCAATCGAAAAATGCATGAGAATCGAGAATCATATAATCTCAAGAAATGCAAACGGCATGACTTAGAGTGCAGAAAGTAATATTTTTGACGTTTTTTATTAAGAAATGCGAAGTAAAGAAAGCAATAAAAACGTCGAATCGAAATTAATTTTTGATGTATATTAATTATGCATAAATTAATTTTCATAAATTTATGAAAAAGATAATACTTTATTTTTCTCAGTAAAAACTTTTACATTCTATTTTTGTTCATTTGCATTATATAAATGTTATGGTTGATGAAACATCATTATTGGGATGGATTTGTTGGTTCTTGTTTTCATTATTACAAAAATTTTCTAGTTATTGGGTTTATATACTGGGGTAGATGCTGAGAATGATTATCAATATCACCTTGACGAATCTAAGACATAAATTATGGAAGTAATTTATTTTTTAAATTATATAAATTAATAATAATTAGTATTTTCTATACTCTCAATTATAAATATATCTATCATAACATAACAAATCAACGGATTTAAATATATAAAATTAAAGAAAAAAATAATTTCAAATATTTAATAATAATTTTAATAAAATAAAAAATTGTATCTATACAAACAAAAGATGAAGTAATGACCGATTAACACACAGTCTTTTAAGTCTTGAACACAATTTATATTATATATTAATATGAATTTATTATATTATATATCTAATTTATATAGTGAAAGAGTCACAAGTCTCTTTTTTATATTATATACGTAATTTATATGTTAAATTTATTTTTAACACTTCCCCCAAGCATTTTTCTCGAAGCTTTGTCAGAGTGTCTTTGTCACTTTTTTTAATATTTAATAAAGAAAATGAGTTTTTCTCTAATCATTTTTCTTACACCACTCAATTTTTACTTTGCATTTTCCCTTTTAACAAAGAAACCATGACATTGTTACTGGTATTTGATTTTTATTTTTATTTTTTCGTTTATTCCCTTCACGTTGTTGATCTCCTGCTTCTGAACAGGTATTTGCATTGGGCTTGGGCCCAACAGGCTATAGCAAATAAAGAAGTTGGTGAGCATCATTAACTTTTCTTTTATTATCTAAGTTTATACCTTACAAGAACTCAATTACTTCCTAAATTTGGCTGTCATTTTCGGCTTTATCGTGAGCATTGTTACTGCTACTTTGTGTGCTGATACTTCTAATTTATGATATCTTTGGTTTTTCGGTTACTGCATTGGAAATAAATGTTCAATTGCATCAGGGACGGATTGATTGCTTTTCTGGTTATTACTTAGGACCTCATTGCATGTTTAGATAATCTTGATGTCCTTTGATGCCCAAAGGGGTACTAACACTTTTGGGGAAACTAGACTTTTACCTACTTAATATTTAATTTTTTTTTTGGAATGTAATTTATGAGTTTATATTTTTAGAGTAATTTTAGATAATTTTATTTTTAAGCACATAATTTATTTAAACTTTAAATTCCGGGAAATCCACATATAACTCATCATATATAAAAAATAGGAAGCACTTTTCACAGATAATGGATCAACTAGCTCCTATCGTACCCACGGGATCCAATCAGATGTCATCCCTCCTCAACAAAAAACCATCTGCAGTTGAGAACGTAATGGTTGACAACAAAAAAATTGTCATTCAAACTTTACTTCACCAAGATTCAAAATTTAAGTCTAAAATATAACGAGCACTAAATATCAATTTTAAATAAAGTACACGTACTCACTTTTGGTATAGAATAAGAGAAGAGACAGAATTATAGAATAAAGATTCCTATTTAGAAACAAAAGCAACATATTTGATGCACATTACTTAAGTGTAATATACCCAACTTTAATATGCACAATAACCACCAATGCTGGGGAATATCAAAATCATAAAATTTAAAAGAAAAAAAAAAAAAACATATGGATATATACATCATGTAAAGAGAAATATCCACCAAAAACGATGCAAATAGGTTTTCATCAATCCGAAAAGACCTTTCTAACTATCTTTTTATCAAAAGTGTTGTGTAGACATTCTATTAAGGTCAAATAGATCCCTTACAATATTTCCCCTCAAAATTTCAACCATTTAACAAATGATAATGTCTATAAACTAGGTTAACTTTGAATTTCCAAGTGAAACTCATAAGGATATGAAATATTTTGAAAGTTCTAAAACAAGAAAAAGGATAATTGGGGTAAAAGAGATCAATATATCTGAGGATCTTCTGATCTACTTTTTATTTTCTCACCTGGCAATGACACGATCTGTGAATGTTGACATAGATAATCACTCGCATATTAGAGTTTCTTTCATAATATCTCAGTAGTATGAGATCATTAAACTTAAAGGTTAGATTCGAGAATTTCCACGAGAATGAAACATATTAAAGCTCATCAAGGCTAAGTATTCTGTCAACAAGTGCTGCATACTCAGCATAAACTGACTAACATTGAATATCAAAGACGTATTAAACACCAGCTTAGATGCAAAACAAGAATATCAAAGACAGCTCTACCTAACAATCAAATTGAAAGCTATAGAGAAACATATTAAAGCTTATCAAGCTAAACATTCTGTCAACAAGTGCTGCATACTTAATATAAAATGACTAACACTGAAACACCAGCTTAGATGCAAAACAAGAATATCAAAGACAGCTCAATCTACCAATTAAATTGAAAGCTATGAACGAAAAACGCCCCCAAAAGAATGACAAATCATCATATAGCCATATATCTTCTCAGTATCTCACCTCTTGTGACTTGACATCAGTGATTAATATACACATTAAGCTTCCCAATCATAGCACATCAGATTTGAACAGTCTAAGTTGAAAGTTAGGCAATATACCAAAAAGGAAAATTAATAATGAATAAGAGGATATAATTAAGAATATCACCTTGTTTCCCCAGACATAGTAAGTGAAGATTAATGTCTGAAAACACTTGGAGAAGATTGCTTCAAATGCAACCTTTGAACAATTTTAACAAGGCATTACAATGAAGTCAAATTCCATGATGTAAAATAACACCTAACACTGCTATATAAGAGGCACTGTACACATAAAGAGAAAATATAGAAATAAAAGCATAAAAACCAATTAATTGCCCTGAAGTGGGCGGATCGAAGGGATTGCAATTGCATATGTGGTTCTTTGAGGTGGTTGTTGGCAAGAATCAAGCTTTTCCGAATCCCAGAGTGAGCTCCAAATCATCCACTCCCACCTCGTGTATTCTCTCGCCCTCCCAAGGCTTCACTCTACCATTCTCGAAGTCAAAATCGGACACTCCTCTGCCCATCTCAGCAACCGAATCCCACTGCACGCCCTCCTGGGCAGGGCTCTTCTGCGTCGCGGGTTTCATGAGGTTGAAGGTGGGGGAAGGAGGACCCGCCGCCGTCTGAACCTGAAAGCTGACCCAGCGGCCGGAGGCGGAGTCGACGGTAGAAGCGTCAGACTCGTCACACTCCGGGATGGTGGAAGTGGCCAGGTGGTGGCGGCGCGTGGGACTTGAGGGAGCGGAAGTGGCGAAAAGAGGGTGGCGGAAGGAGGCGTTGGAGAGGGAATCGAAGTCCGCCTTGCGCTTGGAGGTTCGGGGGGAGGAAAGCGGTGGGGTGACGGGGGCGCTGTTGGATATCCTGAGAGGGGGAAGGTTGGCTGGGATTGAAGTTATATTGCGGATGAATGGGATGAGAAAGGAAGAGGGGTTTGCATCAATGCGAGTGGGGCTGGGGAAGGAGGAGGAGGTTGGACTTGCGTGGTAGGAAGCCACGGGACTCGGGAATGACGAGGATTGTGGACTCGGCTGAATGGAAGAACACGCGCTTATGTTGGGTGGAGTGCCTCCAATCTCACTTGGGGAGGGTCTCTTGCATCCCTGTGTGAAGAAAAATAGTAACAAATAATTATTGAGGAGAAAGAGTGAGCGTAGATCTGATCTGGTGAGAGAGGACTGAGGGAAAGGTTTTACCTTCCGATAGGTAGTGCCGTCTTCCTCCACGATCCAACCAGCTTCTGCACAGAGAGCCTTGAGGACTTCGTTGTTGTCACAGTGCTTGGGAAGCTTGTAGTTCCCCTGAGCTCGAAGCCCTGTGTAGATCTTTGCAGCAATCGCCCTCCGTCTTCTCTCTCTCCTCTTGTTGTTCTCCCTCTCCTTCCACGTCGGCATCCTCCCCGTCGATCCGCCGCCGGTCATCGTTCCGGCCAAGCCAAGCCTGTTCCGCTTCCTCTTTCCGCGGCACAACAAGTGGACGATTTGTGTGTGTTCACGCGAGCGAACAAAACCTAAGAGAGGGTGATTCAAGTTTCTTTGTGCTACTGCAGATGAAGAAGGGGAAACAGAGATGTTGCTTCCTTTTTAGATTCTTCTCATCCTCTCCCTTCTTTTCTGTTCTCTTCTCCCTCTCACCCTTTTCATACTTACTTAGTTTTCACTTCATTAATTATTAATTATTGTTATAAATTTAAAATAATGTTAAGTATAAATTTTAATAAATGTAAATTTTTTATTAATTGAATCATTTAATTAATGAAAATTATATAATTTGATAAATTTATTTATAGGAAAAAAAATCATATTTATGATAAATATTTATATTTAGCTTAATTAAAAAAAGTTGTCTAATTTTCATTAATTATTCTATTAAATTTTTAATTATTATTGCTAATGTCATATGAATTTAAATATGTAGAAACAATTTATTATATATTGTTGAAAACTCATTGATGGAATACTTTAGTAACCTGACAATTTGCTTCTATATTTAAGATATTAGTCATAATTTTTTATGAAATCAATTTTTATAATAATTAAAATCATATATATATATATATATATATATATAATATATATTAATTACTTAACGGTACATAAAAATAATTCCTTGATTACAATTAAAATTTTAATGATATAATTAATATGGTAGGAAAATAAGAGAAAATATTTTAATTATACTAAATCTAAATATTTATCTTTTTATTATATGAAAAATATATTATATTCTTATTAATATTAAATGATAATTTTTTATCAATTTAAAGTATTATTATTGATAAATTAATTATATAATAGATTTAGAAAAAATATATAAATATTTTGTAATTTAAAAATATATACTAATATTTTATAGATGAATGAATTATCATTATTAATTATTATAACCAATTTAAACTTATGATAATAATAAAATAATAATGTCTAATGCTAAATTTAACAACTAATCTAATAACATTAATTATTAAAAAGGAAAACACATCACACATATTAATTGATAATTTATAGTTCAAGCAAAAAAAATTATGAATAGTCATTTTTTTTAACTTTTGTAAAACCTTGATGTAAATAATAATTTTTGGATTCAACATTTATTATTAAGTAAAATATTATAATCGATAGTTAAGACATAACTCATTTTACTTAAAAATGAAATCATCAAAGTTATTAATTTAAGGGGTCTTCACCACTAAACAATTAACAATTAATATAGCGCAACATCACCTATCATTAATGCAATCATAGTTTAAATCATCATTGGATTGCAAAATATGCCATAAACATTAATATATGTTTGGATTATACTATGAATTCGAGGGATGAAAAATAATAGATTTTAACAGAAAAAGAAAAAAAAGTATGTGATTGATTTAATAGATTAAAAAAATATTTTAATTGATAAAATTATAAAATTATAATTTTATTTTTATCTTAAAAATATAATTTAAAATAAAATATAATTAAGATATATTATATTAAAAGGTGAGTTATTACTTGAAATAGAAAAGTTTAAAAAAATTATTTATCCATAATTATTTTTAACTGTTTTACATAAAAATTATTGTAAACTAGTAATTAAAAATAATTTTACTATAATTTTTAAAATAATTATTATAATATATTTTATATAAAAAATTACAATGTAAAATGGATTCTAAAAATACTTATTTGGTTTAAGATAAATCATCTTGTATTCATTCTCAATTTCAAGAATCACTAACAAAATGTTTATAAGCTTTTTTTTTTATTTCTAACTTTTTTTATCAAACTGTTTATGGTGAAAATTTGATCGATTTCGATTAAATCGAGACTTAGGTTCTAACCAAATTTTAACTACGTAGATTCTTTTTATTTAGGCTAGCAAACGGTTTTCAATCGAAAAATGCATGAGAATCGAAAATCTCATGAATGCAAACAACATTACTTAAAGTGCAAATCGAAAGTACTATTTTTGTTATTTTTTCAGTAAGAGATGCAAAGTAAAGAAAGCGGTAAAAAATGTCGAATCGAAAGATTTTGCAGAATATTAAATTGCAGGAAAATGTAAAAAACGGAAACCTCAAATTTGCATTAAGTATAAATAGCGAAAAATCGAAATTGCAGGAATGTAAATAACAAGAAATCGAAATTACAGAAATGTAAATAACAGGAAATTGAAATTGCAGAAATGTAAATAGCGAGGAACTTAAACGCAAAATCTCAACTTACATAAAAGTAAAATAACAAGGAATTGAAAGTGCAGAAACTTATAGTTGCTAAACGTAAACTTGCATCAAATTAAATTGCATGAACATAAATTACCAGGGAAAGTACAAAAAGCGGTAAAGACAATCAATGAAAATAGAAATCCAGATCGCCAGAAACTTCATGATTTCGTCGTTCTCTGGTAGACTTTTTCACTAGTGTTTCAGGTCTCTCTGCCAATTTCCTGTTCTTCCTCAAGCTTTGCTCTATTTATAGAGCACCCTTCATATAACCTCCTAAGAGCAGTTAACAAAACTGTCACCACGACCCACCATGCACGTCTCTTAGTTCCACGGTTTAAAAAACTATATTTCACGTTCCAATGCATGAGATAACCGCTCCCTTGACCTTCGATCTCTGCCACGGTTTAGAAACCGCTTCTCAGGTTCTATGTGCGCGTTAACTGTTCCTCTCTTTCTAACTTAGCCAAAATTTCAATGGTCGTGCATGTTAACTTTTCCCTCGATTTCGATTTCAAAATCTCGAGAACTTTGCATTGCTTTTTTGATTCCCCTTAACATTACATGATTCTAATTCCTCAATTTTCTTCAACAATAGACATTAAATATTTCTCATTCGATTCTCGATTCTAATTCTCGATTTATGTGTCCATACTGTTACATGGTCATCGAATATTTTCCAACCATTTTTTCACTTTATCAATTTTTTAACCAATCATATGATTCTCGATTTTTTTTTTCCTTCGTTTTTCGATCCCTTTATCAATTTCCTACTAGCACATACTTAAAAAGAAAACAGACGGTAACAATAGTACTTATTTTAGTTATGTTTTTCATCTATATAATTTAATATATGCAGAACGGTGAAACTAATATCTATCAAGGTCACATCTGTCCTGTACAAGTATCTCCACGGAGGCAATCTCAGTACCACCATAAAGTGAAATCCCTTCCTGTATCCATTTAATGTAATTGCATTCTCACAACTCTTACTTGAACTCAACCACTGGCTAAGCAGGAATTATTTCATGCCAATATTGATGGTGGTAAGTGAATATAAAATGACAATTTTATAGTTAATGATAATAATAGACTATTAAAACGAAAACATTCTCTTAATTCAAAGAAACAAGGGATCTGTAATCTCCAATTCCTCACACACCCAGAAATCAAGGAGACAGATTAGAGAAATATGCATGAAAAATTTGAGAGAAAAGAAAATTTCATAGGAAAAGGGAAAGGGACTGACGAAGACGAAAGTGGCAGAGAGCTTGGAGATGAGTTCAGGGACGTCGAAGGCGACAGTGATTGGAGACAAGACCACCTGGGAAGTCGAATATATTGATGTTATTTTGGTCGTAACGACGTTGAAATCTTGTATCCAATCTCCACGAACTTCTTCACCGTCTTTACCAATCACTCTCCAGAACTCGACATCACCACCCAACACATACACAGTCACTCGCCGAGAATCGATTTGAATCGATTCTCATTGAGATCCGATTTTACTTAACAAAAAATCGATTATCTATATATTTATTTAAGGGAAGTGAAAATCGATTTTCGTTTTATTAGAAGGCAGATAATCGATCATGTGTACACTAATAATCGATTCTCACTAACCTAAAACTCAGCTACTATCAGTCACTTACAGCCATCAAGCATACCACACACAATCAAACTTTTACCACTACTCATCCTCACACACAAACAACAAAGTTATATTATAATTTGTTGTGATGTATATATAAGATACATAATTTAAATGTATTAGAGTCATTATTTATTAAGCCAACTAATAAAGTGATCGGAATAAATTAAAATTTTGGCTAAAGACATATGTCATGAAAATAAAATTGTGTAGAGACCATAGAGTAATTTTTAATTTGATGAGGGGCTAAATTGAAAATTATAAAACTTAAGTAATTAACCTAATTCTGGTTATTTAAAGGGTCATGGTACCCTTCTGGGAGCACACACGCATAACGTAAGTTTCAGTCCCGTTCTTTTCTTTCTATCCCCATCAAGAAAGAAAATCCAAAGGGAAAATACAGGTCCTCTCCAAGTGGAAGACCATAAGATCAATAGTACTCTACAAAGGATATCATCATTATGGCTAATTCAGGTACGCTTTCACATTCAGTTTACAACATATTTATGAGTATGAGATTATATTTATGTTTGATAGTTAAAATCAAAATCAAAATCATAACAGTGAATTACTAATTCACTAACAATTGGTATCAGAGCTGCCCATACTTTATTTATGTGTGTCTTTGCAAATTAAATTGAAGAATTCAGATTCTAATTAATTTAAAGAACCCTTAATCCCTAATTAAAAAGAAAAACCCCAAAATTGAGAATACTAGGGTTTCTTAAAACCCAATTCTCCAAGGGCTATTTCCCCGAACACCACATTCTCTGCTTCAACCAATTTGCGTTGTGATTCTGTACAAAATCTTTAGCGTAATCAAACCAAGAATTGATCCCTCGGAATACCTACAAGTTATTTTGCGTTAAGGATTATCGGAAGCTTCGACGCCGATGCAGACTCAGAGTTGATCGAGGCACTGCCGAAACTGGTAATCGTTTTGTCTTCGTAATGGGGAAAAGAGGAATTGGAGGAAGCTGCATGACGCGACTCTGGTGCGGCTGAGGAAGGGAATAATTGGGTTTAGAAGCACGGTGAGGTTGATTTGCAGCGGCAATTAGGGAAGCGCAACCAAGTCCATGGTGGTCGGGTTAGGTCTCGCGGCTCAAGGTAAATGAGAGGTGGTGAAGGACCAGATAGTGGTCGTAGGGGCTGCTTCTCCTCTGCCGCGATTCTTTTTCCCCTTCTGTGAATGCAGCTCCTGTGATTTGGAAATCAGTAAGAGAATAAGGTCTTCCTCTGTATTCAAAGGAGTTTGCGTCCATGCTTTGAATTCTTTGTTTTCTCTTTGCTTGCTGCTCTTGAAATTTTGGGTTTGTGGCATTTGGGTCCGATCCTTCTGAAACTTGGTTTGGGTTGTTAGATATCGCATTGTGTAATTTGATTTTGTTTGAATCGTAGTACTTGTTCATCGTTCTCGTTGCATTTGTAAAGATCTAGGGTTAGGGTTTTCTCAAATTGGGGCTTTTGATGTTTTGCTGAATTTCTTTGGGGAAGTTTCAATTCGATGAGTAATTAGGATTATCCTGTTTAATTTCTTTCAATTAGAGCTCTTAATTGTCTGATTTAGCCGATTGCATTAATTTGAAGGAGACTATTTTAAGGTAAGCATGGTGGAAATTCTTTTAGAAGTGGACCCCACCGGTGAAATGATGGAGATTCTCGGGGAACCATTTGCATAAATAAATTTGTATAAATAAATGAATAATTAAACATTGATTTGGTTGTCAAATCTATTTTATCAAAATTTCCTTTTATTTGATACCGAAGCATGAATTATTATATTTAGGTGGTTTCATTTAGATGGAAAATACTTGTTTTATGAATGGCGAGTGGTGGATTCAGTGCCATTATAATTTTTTTAATAAATAAATAATTATAAAAATTTGGTTTTGTTATATAAATAAAATATTACTTTTTTGGTAGTTTAATATTTTTGTGAATAAATTGAGTCAAGAAGTTACCAAAGTAACCTCTCTTGAATTGGGTAGTTCAGTAAAAAATATTGAATGTTAGTGTTTGTATATATTCATGCGAGTATCAGTGGACCCAAAGGAAGATTAATATTTGGCCGAATTACATATACACCTATAATGATAAACATGTGATAATTATAAGGATTTACTTTGTCGATGATAAATCAATCAAAAGACTGGTTTGTTGTTTGACGTGTTTTATTGTCAATGTTTGATTATTACAACAAGATACCTCTAACAGTTAATATTACTGTCCAAAGACTTGATATTGATGGTGCATTGGGTGTCTTGAGATGGGATAAACCATTATTTGAATATATATTTTATTTATAATTATTTATTTTATAATGTGAACATAATTAGTTTATTTCTTTTGTTCTAATCCAACTACAATTGTTTCTGTATCTTCCAATTTAAATTTTGTTTCGGTCCTCAATGGAATAAATTTTAAGGACTGGAAAGAGAATATTGATATTATTCTTGGCTGCATGGATATGGATCTTGCGTTAAGGACTGAGCAACCTCCTACTCCTACAGATTCAAGTACCTCTGAACAGAAAAGAGATTATGAGAAGTGGGATCGCTCAAATCGCATGAGTCTAATGATCATTAAGCGCGACATCCCGGAGGTGTTTAGGGGCACTGTTTCTGAAAACATCACAAGTGTCAAAGAATTTCTTGCTGAAATTGAACAGCGCTTTGCAAAAAGCGATAAGGCGGAGGCAAGCACTCTTCTTCAGAACTTAATCTCCATGAAATATCAGGGCAAAGGAAATATCAGGGAATACATTATGAGCATGTATAATATTGTTTTTAAGCTCAAGGCACTAAAGCTTGAACTCTCAGAAGACTTGCTCATTCATTTGGTGTTGATTTCTCTTCCCGCAATGTTTAATCAATTTAAGATATCTTACAACTGTCAGAAGGATAAATGGTCTCTTAATGAACTCATTTCTCATTGCGTGCAAGAAGAAGAAAGGCTAAAGCAAGATAAGACAGAAAGTGCTCATTTTGCAAGCACCTCTAAGGCTAAAGGCAAAAGAAAGAGATCAGAGGATCCCAAGAAGGAAGTTGCTAAAGGTCCAGAACAAAAGAAACAAACTCAAGAAAACAAATGTTTCTTTTGCAATAAGACTGGACACGTAAAGAAGCAATGTGTTAAATATCATGCTTGGCGTGAAAAGAAAGGGTTGCCTAAACTACCGGAAGCCAACTGATTCTGAAAGATGGATATACGTTGAAAATGGCAAATTGGTGGAGATGGAGATTATTAGACATTTTAGATTATTATTGTGTATTGGTCGTTTATTTTAAAAGGCACTTTTGTTGTGCTGTCGTTTAGACAAAATTTGGTTTTAGTTTCTTATTTGGACAAATTAGGTTATTTGTGTTCATTTGAAAACAATAAGTTCAGTTTGTCTTTTAATTCGGATATTATTGACACTGGTTAACTTTTGGCTTATGATAATATGTATTTACTTGATACTGTGGCCACCTAAAATGAAACCCTTAATACAGAATCTCGTGGTACTAAACGTAAAATTGACAATACTTACTCAAGTGCATTATGGCACAGACGCTCAGGTCACAATATAATCGTGGCGTTTGGGTTTGTGTTATACTCTTAAAGATATGGTAAGAAGTATGATTTGTCATTCCACCTTACCGGAGCCACTCTGGGGAGAGGCACTAAAGAAGACCTTATAAGCCAAATGAAAAGAAATTGGACTCTCAAACAGTAAATAGTTATTTTATTGGTTATGTTGAAAGATCTAGGGATATAAATATTATGATCCCACATTAAAGACGATTTTTTGAGACGGGAACTGTTATGTTCTTTGAGAATATTGAGTTTGGGGGGAAGAATAAGATTAAGAATTTTATCTTGGAGGAAGAATCGGTAACAAATCCAGAACCGATTCAAACAGTTACTTTTGATAAAGTAAGTTCAGAACCTCTACAAGACATTGATGATGAACCACATACTCAAGATGATTTGATTGTTCATCAAGAACAAACTCAAGATCCTTAAGAACTTGTGCATCATGAGCCAGGGATACTCCAGTTGCTAAGAGAGACAAGTTTAGTCTAAATCAGTGTCCAAAGGAGAATTTGGAAATTGAAGAAATGTAGAAGATTCCCCATGCATCAGTTATAGGGAGTTTTATTCCTAAATATGTACGCGTCCAGACATAGCATACATAGTTGGGGTTCTAGGCAGATATTTAAGCAATCCAAGAATAGACCATTGGAAAGCAGCAAAAAGGATCATAAGATATTTAAAGAGAACAAAAGATTATATGCTCACATATAGGAGGTCAAACCAGTTGGAGATCGCTGGGTTTTCTGACTCAGATTTTGCAGGATGTCAAGCATTTGTAGCATGCTATGAGACATCAAATCATGGAATATAGCTGAGAAATTTTGTCACAGGGCTGCAAATTGTGAAAGGCATTGAAAGACCACTTAAGTTATATTGTGACAATAAATCAGCTGTATTGTTAAGGAAATAGTACAGAGTGGACAGATTCCCATAGAACACTTAGGGACAACCTCCATGATAGCAGATCCTCTAACTAAAGGACTTCCGTCCAAAGTCTTTCATGAGCATGTTGCTCACATGAGTGTTTTAAAGTTTGAGGAATTTGTGGTTTAGTGGGAGTTAGTCATTTTCATATATTTTATGTTCTATGTTTAATTTCATATATAAATACATTGATTTTTGGACATATTTGGTTATCTATAGATATGCGGTTTTTTTTGTTGTTCATTCATTACACTTTGTACATTAAGGTTATTATATCGAATTCGATAAGTTAAAGTTTGGACCAATTGAAAATAGACGTGTACAGATCACCTTCACGTAATTTTTCATGCTACATATTTCATGATGAATCCATGTCATTTGGTTATGTAAGGATTAGTAATCATTGTTGGTTTTAGTTGCGATGATGCAATGAAAAACTGGTTTGGTTCTATATCCTGATATGATCAATGGACAGGACTTTTGGAATATGTTAAAGGAATATAATGACAAT